TTGTGCAAAGGACGAAGAGCTCGAGTTAGGCAAAGGGGTTGCTGCAGAGTGTGAGTATCTTCAAGAGAAATTGAGGTTGATGCAGTCGGAGATGGATCAGAATCCGATGAAGGTCGAGGCATTGAGCGCGGAGTGGATGGGGAAATTGGCTGAGTTGGAAAGTAAGGTTGCCGGGTTGGAGAGCATCGAGAGTGCTTGGTCCGCAGCTTCGGCGAGGGGCCCTGGAGAATACCATCCGCGTTCTTCAGTCTGAGCAGGAATTGGAAAGGGCGACGGCCACACTAATGGAGGCGAGGCTTGAGGAGCGCATCTGTGGAATCGACCGGGAGGCATCGGTTTTGGGAGATCGGGTCGCAACTCTAGAGGCCGAAAAGGAGCGACTGTTGGCTCAAATTGAATCTTCCTCCGCCGATATTCCCCGCCACTTGCACGAGCTTTGGGTTCATGCCGAAGCCCAACGGGATATATACAAGAGTTTGTGGGAGGTGGGCAATGTGACCGAAGCCGCATATGAAGAAGCGCGGGTGAAGGTGCAGGAGGCTCGCGTCAATTGTCGGTATGACGCGGCGACGCCAGAAGCTGATAAGGATGCGGACGGCGAAGGAGAATTTCCCGGAAGTGATGGTGAAGAGGGCGGGGGTGATGACCCCGAGTAAAGAGATAGTCATCTTGGTTTGTTTTCTGTTTGTTGTTTTTTTTTATATTCGTTGTCAGTTGTCGTTGTTCTTTTCTTTTTATTGTTAACCCATCGCCATTCGATCGAGGTCGAACTCTTCTTTTTGGCGAAGGCCCTTGGCCTTAAAGGGTGTTATTTCGAACTTATCAAAATGTTGACTCGTCGTCGTTCGGTCGAGGTCGAACTCTTCATTTTGGCGAAGGCCTTTGGCCTTAAAGGGTGTTATTTCAAACTTATCGAAATGTTAACCCGTCTTCGGTCGATGGAGGTCGAACTCTTCTTTTTGGTGAAGGCCTTTGGCCTTAAAGGGTGTTATTTCAAACTTATCAAAATGTTAACCCGTCGTCAGTCCCAGTTTTTGGAGAATCGGCCATCCTCTAGGGGAGTCCAATTCGCTAGATATTGTTTGCATCGGAAAGTATAATATCGGAGAGTTCGAAACGTTGTTGTTTCGCTTATGTTCGTTTTGTGCGCACATTGGAGTTTCCTTGTCTGATTCCTGTCTTTCGGCCCGGAGATATCGTCGGCAGGCGATGTTTCGGTTGCTTTGTAGTAGTTTCCCATTCTTTGATTGAGATATTTCTTTGCTCGCTCGCCCGCACAGCACTTGTGTTCCTGCTTGAGCAGAGAGCAGAAGGTGAGTTAAAATGATACTTTACTCATCTCCATCCGATGGATCGGTGAATGAGAGTAGGTTTGTAATGTTGTTTGTTTTATCTGGTATTTTGACAGTTGATGGGGCCATTCCTAAATTTGGTGACTGTATTCAGCTCTTTTCCTCCTCCTATGTTGCGCCTTGGCCACGTTTGGGTAGGGCTTTGCCTTAGCGCTCTTTTTGGTGGGTGATCGTGTTCCCTGTCTTTGATCTGCATGAAACTAGGAAATTTCACTAAGAGATCCCCACAGACGGCGCCAAATTGTTTGACTCAAATGATATTGTAACCTTTTTGAATAAATCAGTCAAAGAAAATGATGGGGTAAATCTTAGCCAAACATAATAAATTTCAGATCAATAATCTAATTGGGGACACAATATATAGGTTGAAATAGGAATGATCAATCTTATTGAAATTTTCCTTTGTCACTCCTATCAATCAATGGAGGAGAACATTTTACATATTGTGTTGGGGATTGCTCAGTTCTTCTTCTCACTTAAGAAGATTACAAAGAAGAGAAAAAGTGGAGAGCTGGAGAGGGTCCCCCGAATCTGCCCCTCCCTCTGCGGGAGGTTTTTACCCTACTATATATAGTCATGGACCCCTTTCTGTGTACTTGATCCGACGCCTTTCCATACCTCGTCTACCTCAATCGTTCTCTTAAGGTTGTTCCTTCTGGCTTCGACGGAAGTCGTGAGGGCAGGATATGGAATGGACCATGTCGTCTTTCGCTGCCTTGCCATTTGAATGAAACGTTGGTCAGCTTGACCGTGGTGGTCAGATTTTGACCAATACACACACTAGTTCTGATTCACATTGCGTGAAACTGCGCAAGTGTTGAAGACTTTCTGGAGTTCATATTATAGATAAAAGAGTTCAAGAAAATTATGGAGAAATTTCAGGTGGACATTAATAAGAGGAGGCACCTTTTTCACTAGGTAACGTCGTTCTTTATTTGGATAGACCATATGCGGATTGTTTTTTTTTTTCTTTTGCTTATATCGATTCTTTGCGAATACCACATGATTATCTCGAATTTCAACAAGCGAATAAAAAGAAAATATAAGAATGACATGTCTAAGATTTATACTTCATATACTTAAAAAAAAAATTCATCATACCTACAACATATAACTTTTAAATAGAAGGGTATCAATTAAGCCCCTTTCCCAATAGGTAGCCCCAGCCCCCGATCTGCAGGTGCCTACTATCTCCTACTGACACATATATTGAATAACTCCTTTCATTAGAGTTTAAATAAATCAATGCGAAAAAATCACCTAACATAAACCTAATGTCCCATACTTTTCTTTCTTAATTGTTTCTCTTTTTAAAATTTTGTTTTTAGTATCGAACCCATTAATTAATGGATTGGCTCCATTCCGATCTACTATGTCTTGGCTGGTTGTTGAGCTACAAAATGATTGAATGAAATGCAACAAGTTTGCTGAGAAGTTGGTTAACAATCTTTTCGACACCATGAAAGCTTTTCAACGGGTACCGTTGACAGAAGTGGCATCAGTTTAGGTTTTTCTGTTATTTGTTTACGACATGAATGGTATCAAATAATTTGACGTAAATATGAACTCACAAAAATTGATTGGGATTCATATTTTACTGTAATGATCAAATTCCGTCGTTTTGTTTTTCAAGTCTTCCAGGATGCCAGTTGATTGCATAGGATCGATCTGCAATCAATTTTATCAAAGTAGCGCTTGATATACGCCCCCC